ACAATAGGTTTTAAACAAACAATTTAATACTGTACACAGCAATGATGATTGTCAAGCTTAGTTGAGGTGGTGAAGTTAGAGGGTGGCAGAAGGTGGGATATTTCCCAGGGAATGCCTTACTGATAATTAATGATGAACTAGCATTTGTCTGGGCCCTCAAGAGTTAACACATTGTTGTTAATGTAGCCTCACACTGTACAAGGCAGCATGAATGGAGGGAGGGACGACAGCATGGCAGACAGAGACCGACACACACCCTGTGTGTGGGAGAGAGATGCGCATTGCCCCTTTAAGTATGCCGATACCACACTCTAAGTACATTGCCTTTAAAAAGATCAGGCAGTTGAGACAGCAGCTGCGGCCAGCTCTCTCCGTCCTGAGCCCTGGTGTATCTCTCCCCATGCTCTATATGGAGAAGGGGTAAGCGGGGGGGCAGGGGCGGGGGGAGAGGGGCACCCTGACATTAATCCCCCACTTCCCCCCTCCCCTGCACAGCAAGGAGGAGTCTCCTAGGAGCAGCTCCAAGGCGGAGGGCAGGAGCAGCACACCGCAGTGCGGAGAGGGACAGCTGAACTGCCAGCAATTGGTAGCCTGCTGGGCAGCTGCTGCACAGGGAACTTAGGGGAGCGGGGAGCTGATGGGGGGCTGCCGGTCCACCCTGGTTACAAGCCCCCACCAGCTAGCTGCAACAGGCTGCTCTTCCTGCAAGCAGTGAACAAAGCAGGCGGCTGCCAAACAACGTTATAAGGGAGCATTGCACAACTTTAAACGAGCATGTTCCCTAACTGATCAGCAACGTAACAACGAAACAATGTTAACTGGGACGACTTTACGTGAGGAGTTACTGTACTGTCATGTAAGCAATTATTCTGCACTATATGAACCTGTTCGAGATGTAGGGACTTAATTAGTGGGGTTGAAGCATGAACAGAATAGCTGGGGAGAAAATAATGAGGTCTAAACTTGCAACAGATAGCTAAACAAGGAAACAGATAAAGCAGAGATAGTTTTCCCTCTATATTTTTCTTCCCAGTATGTTATTGAAGAAGATTACTTATAATTTTAACTACCTGGTGAGTTTAACTGCTCTCAAACTGCCTTTATTTAACATAAAATATGCCTGCTAAGTTTGCCCCCTTACAAAGCCACAGTCCATTTATACTGTTAGGGAGGAAACATACAATTTTCTTTTTGGCATGACAAAGTGGAGGTCTGCCAGCTTTCCAAACATGTTCTTCGAAAGTTAAGCTGCTATTACATAGGTATCTAGGGGGCTAGTATAGCAGTGCTTTGAGCAAACAAATCGTATACAATGCCAGCTGTCCGCCTTGGAGAAAGGTTGACTTTTGTTTGAAGTTTTCAATATAAATATTTGATTCAGGGGGTCCTCCTTTGGGGATAGTGATTTATATAGTTTGATAATTTTCAGATCTAACAGTTGAGAATTTAATGTATTAAATATACTGACCAATAAGATGGTAAGAAAAATACTCATAAGCCACGATACACTAGTAACCTAAATATTCATAGCACAGATCATCATCAAACTGTTAACTTTACCCTGTTTGGGTTAAAAAAAAGCTTGATTTCCACCCAAACCATATTGGAATAGATTCACCCAAGAACTCTGCATAAGCTTATGTCGTAGTCTTCACTAACATATTGGCAAACCTGATTCAAAGTCATCTGGTTTAATTAAAGAATCTTTGTGCAGTTCTACATGTAGAAAAGAGAATTTTAAACATTTGGCACAGGTTCTAGACTTTTCAAATGATAAGTCTAATGTTTAAGGAAATCTAAGCAACATGTTCGGAGCTGGTCAGCCTAATTTGGAAGTTTTTGCCTCTTCAACCCACAATATTGATATACTGCCAACGTTGTTCAGTAGAGATGGACCTGAACTGGAACATCAAGCTCTTGATGGGAGAGGTGCTATGGAACCCACATGAGTTCTGTCTTCAATCATAGGATCTTTATAAAGGTCACAAACTTTGGGGGTAAGGGAAGAGGTTGACTTCTGGACCATAAGCCTTACTCAAATTTTTGACTCCCTGTTACCTAGCAGTAAACACTATTAGGGTAGCTGCTTCAGATGCTGAAGTATCAAAAATTTAGTCACAGATTCTAAACAGCTGTTCGATATAATAGAAACTCACTATATCAGATACAATAAAAATCCATCATGACTGACAAGTGCTTGTACCAGCAACCAAGTGAGAATATACATTACATGTTTCCCCAAGACTGTTACTATCCCTCTCCCCAAAGTAAGTTTAGTAAAAAAAAAATCAAGCTGTAGATCACATGAAATAGTATTTTTACAAATTGAGTTTGTAGCTAATTTTCTTCCTAACACCAAAGTAAACTGCAGCTCAAATTGTGTTATTAGAAAGCTTTTTTTTTTTAATTAATAAGTCAATTTGGCAAATATTTTAACTGGAACTTACCTAAGAAAGTAGAACTCTACCCCTTATGCAATTACTTTCAGATATAACAATGTAAGGACATTTTCAACACGGGAAAGTCTGCAGATTTTCAACAGCTCCAATTTCACTGTGACCTAAGTAAGCCTCTTTGTTCAGACCAGACAGCAGTTAGAAGGAATTAAAGACTGCTGAAATAGTCTTCCATGAAGTGCAAGGAAAATGTAATGAACAACAACAACAAGATAAAAATACAGGCTTTAAGTACGTTTCCCATAGAGTATAGAATCCCACCTTGATAGGTAAGTACGGTACTAATGGGAGAAGAGTGCATAATGCTAGCAGAAAGTATACTTCTTGCTCACAGTGGAGTATTTAAAGCCAGATGTGGCTTATGAGGGGTCAGTTATGTCACATGCTGGGTTAGACTCATTCAGTTCAAATGATCATGCTACTAGTAAAACCACTTACTCATTCTTATCTCCATCTCTCAAGAGTATCAAGAGGCTAAACTATCCAAAACGTACCAAGCACCTTGTGTTTCCTTTTAGTTCTCTGCTTGCATTCAAGCCAAACCCTCTGTTATTTGGAAGCTGAATACAAGAACCTACAGTTTTGTATATTTTCCACCTGAAGCCATACACTCAGCTCAGTTCTCAACACTGCACTTTGCCAAGCACTAGAATAAAATCTTCAACAGTGTCTAAGTGACATAGGATCCTAAGTCGTAGTGAATGTCAAGTGACTCCAGATGCTAAAAGTCTACGTCCTTTTGAAAATGATGCTTGAGCTCCTAAGTCACTTAGGCCCTATTGGAAATTTTTAACTATGTATTTCTTACATATACTTGAAAGGGAAGAGTATTTCTGACTTTTGCCCTAGAATGATAAAAATGCCATATAATTTTGGATAAATGAAGGTACAAACTTTGAAACACATTATAAAATAAATATTTAATGGAATATTTCACTTTTATTTCTATATTACAGTGGCAGCTACAGACCTGAGTAAGAATCTGGGTGCCACGGTGTTAGGTGCTGCTTGAGATCCATGGTTCATATCCTGAAGAGCTAACAGTCTGACTCATGTCAAGACACTCAATGGGGTTTATCTGTCCAGAAGAAGGGGTGGGCGAGAGTGGGCCAGGGAAATGGTGGGAAGGACATGCTATGACATAGGCCTGCAACTGCACAGCTGAACTGTTTTAAGGTCAAGGATTTTTTGGTAGTCTGGAAAGCAGGAGCCTTTGTAACAAGCTAAGCTTACATTTACAAGTCTCATTTTTAAAAGCATTATGATTCAATCTGTTTCAGATAACTACCAAGTTTATACAGGAAAATGTAATGAACAACAACAAGAAGATAAAAATACAGGCTCTAAGTATTAACCAGCAATTTTTAACAGCCCTTTTCATCCAGCAACTAACTGTGCAACTCTGCTTGCTGCTCCTGATACGCCTTTTTACCTATTTTTGGAACGCTAGGAAGTTTAACTGGTTGATTTTCATGCAGTGTTTTGCCTTTCCCAGTGCATGCGATGTTCATCAAAATGTTTAACTTTTCAAAAGCGAGCCACAGAGCTGCATTAAAATTTTGATCCACTGGTACAAAATAATTTGTTCTTCTGTTTAAGTACTGCAATATATTAATTGTTCCAGTTTGGTATTTCCATTAATCTAAAGCTGAAAAATAAATCTTGGCCACTGAGCTGCCAAGTGACCATGTGCAAATTCCTTCTGCGCTTCTAATTTACCTCCCAGCTGACAATATAAATAGACAAGATAGATTTAAAGGCATTGACTATTTACTATGCTTTTGTACAGTGTCTGGCACAATGGGACTGCGATCTCCATTGGGGTATCTAGGTGATATGGAACACAAGTACATAATTTACAGCTTTAGCTCTTCCTCATTAGAATACCGTACTTAAACATTTCAAGTCCAGAAAATTCAATGTTAAGGTTCCACAAAAATACATCTCTAATTATCATGTGCCAACCTAATATTCACACATTCATACTGTGTATGGATATGTACAATTTGGTACCTTATGCTACAGCTTCTGCTTAAATTTCAGAAAGCATCTGTAAATGCAGAAAAATGGTATCAAAGCTACAGAACACAGCGGTGAATAAGGAAAGTATGTGGAGTTAAAGGTTCATCAGCTCTGGATTTTGAAGTGCACTGTTTGAATGCATCACTTCCCAAGTTTTGATAAGTTGTTTATAAAGCTTCACAAATGTTCAAGTATTCAATCAGAAACTCCATAATTGATATATCCTTCACCCAATTCTCAATCTCCATAAAGTTATTCAAAGAAACTATTTCTTGGAGAAAATAAATGAACACAAACTGGTTTAGTCTCCTGATTAAATGGCTTTATAAAGTATTCAAAAAAAGTTTGATATTTATTCTAATTTGTCAAGCTATATACAAAATGTTTATGCAATTGGCCCTTTGGCAGTACAAATAGAAATTATCTCCTGGCAGACCACACATGGAGCGGGAGGCAGTCTGGAGATACAGGGTGCCAAAACAGAGTTTTTAATAGAAAGTAAGTTGCAGCCTAGCCTGTGAAGTTACTACATCTTAAACAATCCAAGCCATTTGCACTATGAAGGCTGCCAAGACTTTTACAAATAAAGGTTTGCTGGGACATGAAGGTAGGTAGGTTTTACTGATGTTTTAACTTATTGTCAAGCTTAGACATTCCTGACAGAGAAAATTAACTTGATGTGTATGCCACATAATGCATAGGGAAAAATTAGCAAGTTCATTTTGTAGAACTACTGGATGCTAAATTACTAAGAAACTCTAATAAGCAACAGGTCACTAAGTTGAAATAAGCGACAAAGAGTCCTGTGGTACCTTGTAGACCAACAGACGTATTGGAGCATAAGCTTTCGTGGGTGAATACCGACTTCGTCAGACGCATCTGACGAAGGTGCCACAGGACTTTTTGTTGCTTTTTACAGATCCAGACTAACACGGCTACCCCTCTGATAAGTTGAAATACTGGTTACTAAGTTGTCAGTAGCCTAAATTATGAATTGCTTCTCAACTGAAAATTGTGTCAATGTATCTTCCTAGTCTTGCCAAGGTGTATTTCTGGACCTGCTGTCCCAATGGCGAAAATTAGTAAAAGCTTGGTGCCTCTCTGGGAATAGATCTATAGAAAAGAAATAATAAGATAGATGTATAGAAGATTTTATATTGTGCAAGCTTCTAAGATGTGGTGGTTTCTTGTACTCTGAGATCTTCATTTCCAAAGGGATACACAAGTGTAGATTAATTTAATGGTTATAATTGCTTCTCAATTTCCTGTGCATAGTTAGCTACTTTTTGAGGATAAAACTGTCTCCAAAAGTTCCTTTTTCCTTTGGGGAGCGGGGGGGGAGGGGGAATTTGCCACCTCTAACTGAGTTTCTCAACTCAAATGACATTTTAAAAGAACTTGTCAGAGAAGAAAGTGCTGCATTTACAAATCTGTTATTGTAACCACATGAGTTCCATATCAAACCTTTCTAATTAGAAGGTGTTTTTACTTCCATTATGTCTTCCTATGGACATTAATCTTTCAGGCCCAGACACTTCGCTGTCATTGTAATTGCTTTACTTCATGCCCCCAAAGAACAAAGATGATGTTGTTCAGCATTCATCTGTATGTTGAAAAGCACTCACTCCATCCCAGGAGAGAGCAGTGTCTGGAATAGCTTCATTTAATAGCAAAAAAAGATACAAAAACAAAGGAAACTAAAATTCAGCTTACACTCTTCAATGTACACCTTTATCCCGATATAACACGCCCTAATATAACACGAATTTGGATATAATGCAGTAAAGCAGCGCTCCGGGGGGGGCAGGGCTGTGCACTCCGGTGGATCAAAGCAAGTTCAATAATGCGGTTTCACCTATAACGCGGTAAGCTTTTTTGGCTCCCGAGGACAGCGTTATATTGGGGTAGAGGTGTAGTTCAAGATTAACCAAACAGAAGCATTTTCTTCAGTGGAAGGACTCGAGAATAAGTGCTCTCTGATATCTGTCTGAGCTTCCTGATGTGGCTGTGGTTTCTCGGCTGAATCACAGCCTGTCCCCATATAGTTTTGACAGCCCTGTCATGACCTCCTCACTCCCTCCTTCCCCTAAATAGGAAGCCTCAGACTTATATTCTTACATGCCACCTCTCTTTGTTCAGGAAGATAAGGGAGCAAGTGGGATTCAAGTACTTCCTTCACCTGCACGGGCTGTTAGAACTCTTTCTTGTCACCTGACCACCTTTGGGCCCTACTGGCCTGTCTCTCTCAACCTAGGCTGAATCTGTTCTCCAGCCGCACACGTCCATAAAGAATGCTTCAACACCAGCTCCCACTATTTCAGGCTCTCTTGTGCTCCCTGTACAAGTGGCTGTTTCAGCCTCACTTCCCCACAGCTCCTGCCTTATAATGGCCAGTATTTCAAGTCAGCCCCGGTTGCAGTTTCCTCCTCCATGCCAGCCCCAGCTATTGCTCCATTCTGAGAAAGGACGTTGACAACTCTCCTCCTCCTACCATATCAAGATACCCTTCAGGAGGCTGAAGAAAAGGCTCAGTTTGTATCTTTCCCTTTAAAGATATGCAGATCTACTCTGGGATCTCAATCACTTTGAAGGACTAGCTGCAGCAGTGTGGTGACACTACGCAGTAGGAAAGATGAAGTCCCCATTCCACTGCAACTAGGTGTTTTATTCTTCGCTTCCTGTAGAAAACCATAGTACGGCTATACCATCTGGTATAGCTAATGTATTCCACAACAGAGAGCGCAACATTTTAGCAGTAAGTGATGCACTGGTTGTATACTGTAATTTGTTTGACTTGTGAAACTTCTAGAAACTTTAGGAATCAAAGACTCCACAAAAAATATAATATATTCTTATTGACTTTCCATCCTCTGAGCTAGCTCTTGATTTAAAGAAAGACCAGTATGACACCATTGTATCCATATGGCATAAACTCTTGAGAATGTCACTGAAGTGAATCATCACTTCCTTTACCAAAATCAGATGGCCTAGGAAAGCTGTTATTTCCAGGAATTGTTCAGTTGATCCCTGAAATTAACTCCTAAGATTTCACACCAACCTGATGCCAGAATGACTGGCCTGCAATTCCCACTACATTACAGACCATATTTGAAACGTTTGCCACCTTCCACTCTTCCAAAGGAGAAACTGCTGTTAAGATTCAGCCGGGTTGTTTTAATACTTCTGCTAAAGCCTTCCTGGTTTTCAGCCCAGAGTCTCACTCTGAACACATTTCCTACATCTTCAGCCAGCTCTTTTGAAAAGCTCATATTTACGTTTTAGGCAAAATACGCTCTAACAGTGAAGATTACTGCAGAAGAGTGACTATTCATATTTCCTTCTGTTTGAAACTCTTACGAAAACCACATCCCAAAATCTTAAGATAAAGTCCTCCTGCCAGTGAAACGCAAGTAGCATATTGTGAATCTGTAGTAAAAACTAAATTTGACCCACAGAACTTAAATCTGATACTGCCACTGGACAGTTTCACAGGACCTACTTAGTGTATAGGGACAAAACTGACACCCTTCTCCCAGGTGCAAGAACAAATACCGAGATTGCAGAAGAGAATTACAAATCAATTTTACCAAGTAGATGATAAATGAAGAAGATGTTTGCCCTTTGGATTATCAATTCTAAAAACAATGTCTCTACTATCAGAACTGCTAGAAAGAGGAATTTGCATTTAAACACCTCCAGAAGGGACACTAGTAACAATTGCTTGCGAGCAAAGTCCAAAATCTGAGACAAACTCTTGTCCCACCAGTTAGTGCCCACAGAAGCTTCTTAATATTACTGATCTTACAACTCACTTTTCAAATGTAAAAGTCGATAAAGAAAATCAAACTAATCTGTTTGTGTGCTGAGTCTACAAATCTGTTTATTGTCATTAACTTGGATCAGAGACCATAGAAACTGAAAAACCAAAATTAACTGACTGATTACACTGTCATAAGGCTGTGTGAAGCCTGGTGTATACTGACAGAGGAAGACAGAGGGTGGATCTACCTATGAAATTTGGCCACTTGTTAAGAAGTAGTACTTGGTTAGACAGGATTTATCCAAAAGGAGATGGCCAAGGTTAACTGGCCGAATAACACTGCCCAAGTTTGCACTGGTGAACTGATGCCTTGTGCACTGAAGAGTTCCCAAAGCAGCAGAACCTTAGGCTGTGTGCGTGCAAGTGAGAAATGTGTTATCTAACAGTTGTGAGCATTACATGCACACTGGAGAGTTTATTCTAGGTATTCAGTTAGGCTTGGTCTACACTACAAAGTTTTGTAGGCATAGCTATGTCAATCAAGGGTATGAAAAAACCACACCCTCTTGCCGACATGCTATGGTAGCAACCCCTCCCCCAGCGTAGATGCAGCTATGCCGACAGATGAGTATCTCTGTCAGCACAGCTAATGTCATTCGGGGAGGTGATGTTCCTACACTGAAAGAAGTCTGTCAGCATCAGCTGCACTTATACTAGGGGGCTCTGCCAGAATAGCTACACCAGCAAAGCATTTGTAGTGTACACCAGGCCACAGCTGGAATGCAAATTTTACCAATTTATTTAAATGGCATTTTATTTGCCTACAGACGTGTTCCCAGCAGACTTGCACCCTTGAGTTGTCACCTCACTCAATTTATTTATCAAAAACATGGCATATCCAAACCAACAATTCATCCTATTTCCCATTTATCTTTTCATGGTCAGCATAAGTAGGGAAATTTAATAGATTTTTTTACAATTTAACCCATCCTCCCATCACCTCTTACTGTGCCAGTATTAGGTAGCCAATACTTGTGCACTACCCCACAAAGAACAAGAACACCACTAAAAACTTGTACATTATCCACAATTAACTAACCTTAGCTGAGACACTGCAGGAAGTGGAAATGTTCCCAAAAATCAGCTGTTGGTCAGCCCAGACCCCAGAGATGGGAAAGTTCAAAATGTTCTTATGACCAAATGGTTAGAGTTAATTCAGACCTACCTTTTGGATTTATATCCCAACTACTTTCATGAATGAATGACATGCAAGCCCTCTTGCAAGTGTGTGTTATTTGTTATACGGATGACAATTGGCTTTGCAGACAGACCATAACCATTTAAAAGCATTCAGGCCAAGAACATCAGGCCAAACATTCCTGCACTGGCACGACTGGGGAAAACCATACTTCTGGCAAGCACATTTTTATCTTGGCAAATTTCCCTGAGGTTTACCTAAATAAAATTGCAAATATTTAAGGGAAGCAACTGAACTTTTCTCAGCAAAAAAATACAGGAGGAAGATCACAGTCTGCTTGAGAGCACAGCCCAAATCAAATCTCAGATTTCTGAGACACATCTGGGTGATTAAACTGAAGACTAAATGGAATATGACTTCAGTGTAGCTTAAAAAAATACATGGGGCTCATGAGCGAAACCAAAGCTTTTCCAGGTGAGTAGATACATCTTTAGAATTTCAACTTCCTTTGAAATATGTAGGAGTTTTTAGCTTTTCTTGTTGAATCCAGATGCACTGTAAATTGACGCCGAAATTTTAAATGTGCAGAAAGCTCCAATACTGCTGCTGCTCAGAACATCCATAAGCTGAAGCAGAGTGAAAGCTGACCACTCGTCGGCATACACTGTTTCAGTGGATAACAGCAAAACTAGGAGGCAATTAAATGGTTTCATTCTGTTGCAGAGCCAGGCACTGAGTAAATGATTTTTTAAAAAAAGAAGGTTAAAGTAATCAGAGAAGCCAAAAACTCATTTCTTAGAGCAGGCAGAAGACTGAGGAGAGGGTGGAAAAGATCTGAGACTAGCAGGTCAAAACTTTTGGCTTTTATATGTCTGGTAAAACTTTTATGTTTTGCAGGTGAGCATGGTTGACTGGAAGGACTTGATGGGATTGATAACAGCAGTGATGTATAATCGAGAAGTTGCAGTCTCAGGGGGAAGTAGTAAGAGGAGGAGGAAGACAGGAAGGGAAAGAAAGTAACAAAAGCAAGGATTATAGTAAGTCGTGTTAGTGGAAGAGTATCCGGCAAATAGTTTATTCAACAAATTTTGCCTGAATTCATCTAACACTATTAATATTTGTGGTGTCCTACAGCTAATCAGTCTTCAGCAACCATCAATACAAACGGCATTTGTCAAATACACAGAGCAGAAATTTCCGTTCAGCCAGCTTTCAGTTACAGTAATTCAACATAAGCTGACTAAGTCACATTTAAAACTAGTGCACAACTGTTTTGTTCCTTTAAATTGCTGGGACATGACCAATAGCACCAGTTTTATTTGCCTTGGCTAGTAAACTTAATCCTCAGGCTAGTAGGTGCCAAATAAGCTTCAGCTCGTGCAGACAGGGAAAAGTAAGGGTGGATACTTCACAGGAGCCATAAAATACTTTTAAAAGGCTTCACTTCTTCTAACAAAAGGCCTCAGGTAACACTACAGTGATTATTCAGGAGAGCTACTCTACTGTAAAAACTAAACTGAACCTGTTCATGCACCTCTCAGGATCCATTTCATTAGTCTTTTAACAAGAATGTACTTAACAGGCATATCCTTCCCTCTCCTGCCTTCCTCCAAGTGAACTAAGACTTTGCAGGCGGTTTCCAAGGAAACATCAATGGAGATTCAAAACCGTTGTGAAATATTGCAAACAGCCAGTTAGAATAGAGTCCATTCTTCTAAATAGACCATTTAAATCTAATTCACATGAAGAGGTACAGGTCACATGGTCCCTTTTTCAATGGGGCTGGCTATAATTTATTACAAGCATGCAAGTTGGCTTGCCACTACCTATTATGATTTACGGAAAGGTTCCATGGATTATGGGATGAGAACAACTCAGCAGAAACTAGTTCAGTTTACAAAATCCCATTTGACTGCATCAAATTCCTGCTACATCACATGCCAAACACTGGGATGTAGGGGACTATAAAGTTACTGTTATATACACTATGAGAGCTTGCCCTTTATTTTTCCCCATCCCACTCGATATTGGATGTCACCATGCAGATATAAGCAAGGCCATCTTTGCTCCAAAGAGCTTATGTTCTAGAAAGAACGAGGAAAGGAGGTGAAGGGTGAAGAAAGAAATAGAACATACAAGCAAAGGAAGCACTATCATAAGAACAGCAGAACTGACCGTGGTCATTTCTATGGAAACATCTGTATGCCCTTCTTTGGGATAATACTACTTCTTTGTCTGGCCTGACACATTGGCTTTTGAGTGCTGCAAAAGGTAACTGTGATGAACTGGAAAAATACATCAATCCCTTGTACAGAAGCATGGGTTAATGACTCATTAGTTGTTGCTATATGACTTCAAATGAAGGCAAAATGGATTATGGTAGTTTGAGATAGAATACATTAGACAGTGAATACTTTGAGTAATTTTTAGTCTGGACCTAAACCACCAAGTTAGCATGGTATTTACCACTATCTCTAGAGTGGCAGAGTTTGCAAAAGAGAAGAAATGTTCAGTATTATCCTTCCTCTCCCCTCCCCAGCATCACTGTTAGTTAAGGCTAAACATCGCACTTGAAGCATGGTCAGTGATGTATAGCTGTGCAGAACTTCAGTTGGAATACATTTAATACCATAAGGAACTTGAATTTGCATTGAAGGGGAAGCAGGAAAGGTTGTATGCTTTAACTCAACTGCAAATTTGAAGTGTCTCACTGTTCTGTTTCTCAGGGAAGCTGGACGAGGAAGTGCAATACATCAAAAGTTTATGAGATTTGCTCCTTCAGCTGAAGTATTTTTAAACCCATTTAATATGTCATCCATTTCCTGGTGAATAGAAATACTGCATATTTTTAGTAACTACTTCAATCCACTTCCTCTGCTATCTCTATTGTTTAGAAATACATTTTTCAGGGTCAGCAACATTGACATATTAGAATATGCAGTTATTCAGTTAGGAACACCATCAAATTTTGCTTATACAGTTATTTAAATAAGGTACAGTGGATGAACACAGAAGCCTTGATTAGATGGACTGTGCTACGGCACTTAGTGACTACTGTTTTTTCCATATAGACTGCAGAAATTATGCACCACTGAGGTCTTTTTCCCTCCCCAGTTAATAGAATTTGCTTTTCGTCTACATTCCATTTTTATTCTAGTTAATTAAACTAAAATAAAATAGAAACTGCTTCTTATAATCAGATTGCAGCACCACCACCAAGACTTTTTACCGAAGGTGTCTAATTTTGCAAGTTTTTTTTAAGATGTGGCATTTACAGGTGCAGGAAGAGCTATGACCATAGGTGGTAAATAATAACATTCAATGGGTAGTTTAGAAAGCAGATCTTATTCCTATAAGAGAGAAGCTTTAAAGAGTACCCCGATATCATATACCATCCACGGTTAAAAGACGACCTTCTGAAGAGGACATGGTCCGAGAACTGTTTCGCAAGCTATATTCCCCTCAAAGTTGCTGCATATTACTATATGCAGTTACACGAGCCTCTGAATGATCCTTCCATTGCTCAGAACAACCTGGGGCCGGGAGAGAGTCAGGATTCTAGAATACGGATATTCCAAGTAGTCAGGCTGCCAGTAAATCGTTTCACATGGGAGATTTACAGACACATCCTGAAAGCTTGTTATCAGCACAGAGCATATGGACACAGTGGTTCAGGAGATCTTTAGCAACCAGTTTTTCATGGATATTTTGCTTCAATTCTATCTGCCAGGAAAGAGCATGAATATATCTGAATTGTTACCTTGGGCCACAGTTGCTTGCTTACAGCAGACAACTGCTGAGATTGCAACATCGACAGAATAGAAGGTCGTGTACCAGTCATGTGTTTCACATTCTCACCCTACACTCGGACAATTAAATTAAGGCCCAACTAATGGTAGACCAGATGCAGCCAACGAAGCCAGCTAAGAAAGAAATGACTGAACAGAAAGATAATTCTACAGTAGCTGACTTACACCTTTTTAGGTGGTGAAAACAAAAATCAAGTTTTTAATTATGTTCACAGGGTATTAAATATGGTAGGACAAAACATACCTATTTCTCTGAAAAGGAATGACGACACTTTGCTGCTGAGTGCATTTAAAATGAAGGTAGAGCAGACAAAGAACCAAGTTACGCAAGCAGTTTTAACAAGGTCAAAAATCTCCATCAAGAATGCCAAGTTACACATTTCACTACTGAGTGACTAACGGTAGAAACACATATATAATAAGGCCACTTCAGGAACCCCTGTGTCAAGATTACTTAGTTCCTGCACCCATATTCCACCCTGAATTTCACTGGACACAACAGGTATGTAAGCGGTTACGTGAGCAAAGCTTTCCCCTTCACTGGTAATCCAGGGTTTCTGTGTATGTGCAGATGGGAAGGATTCATGTTAAACCAGTACATAAAAGGTTGTTACAAGGAGGAGGGAGACAAATTTTTCTTCATAACCTCTGAGGATAGGACAAGAAGCATTGCAGCAAGGGCAGTTTAGGCATTAGGAAAAACTTCCTAACTGTCAAGGTGGTTAAGCACTGGAATAAATTGCCCAGAGAGGTTGTGGAATCTCCGTCACTGGAAATTTAAGAATGGGTTACACAAACATAGAGTGCAAGGTACTGGACTAGATAACCTCTCGAGATCCCTTCCAGCCCTATGATCCTATAAAATACAGACATGCCTGTGAGTTGCTAGAAAGAGTCAACCAGTCCCTTTAGACACTATCCCTAATGGTTTGTTTCAGTGTTGTACCTACCACTTCCTCCGCTGTTCCCAACTAATTCAATTTATTACTCCCCTATTTGTGTGCCCAGCCCAAAGTCCTTTTGCCTTTTCCTTCAAATGTTGCTGAGGTCCCAGCACTCAGTTATAGGAGAGAACCCTGATTCACTTGAACTTGTTGCAGCAGCACTTTATTCGAAGAAATAGGGTGCACTGTCATTGCAGACGTAGGATCTCTCATAGCTGGAAAATATTGCAAGGATAAAAAGAAGATTATTCACAATGGCTTTAAGTGTAGCAACTCTGTATTCAGCAGTCAACAAATTAAGCCAATTTTCTACTCATCCTACCAATATTGCATAACAAATCCTAAGATTTATTACAGTGGGCAGCAGAAAACTCACAGTTTGCGCCTATAAAACCAGGTTTCATATTCCTGAAACTACACCTGAACTGGGAACAATTCACCACCTCCAAGTCAAATTGTATTAAAATTTTCTCTGTCTTTTGTAGTAGAAAGAGAAGGAACTGAAGCACTGGAATAAATTGCCCAGAGAGGTTGTGGAATCTCCGTCACTGGAAATTTTTAAGAGCGGGTTACACAAACATGGAGTGCAAGGTACTGGACTAGATAACCTCTTGAGATCCCTTCCAGGCTTCAGCTCCTTTACTTCACATTTCAATTGATAAATGTACATTGTCCATAATATTTAACCCTTACCATGAGTGAAGCAAAGAATCAACTGATCTATAGGCATTACAGTAAGGCTTTAAGATTATTTTAACAACTGTGTAGAAGCTCAGGGTTTCCAGTAAGTAAGTTAACAGTGCAGTGCTTTTAGTACTAAAAATTGATCAAAAGGAATGAAGGGCCATTTAAAATTTGTCAATACCAAGGTCTCATTTAAGCAGCAGTCTTGATTCTCACCATAAATTCAAACCATGAAACTGCACTTGTTTTAGCTAATGCATCAAAGCAGTTGAGCATGCAGGGCGATTACAGAACACCAATGAACTAAGGATTGGCTTGAAACTAATGTTGTGTAAATTGGATGCAGCAAGTTTCAAGAACCAGAGGAATGCTTGGGGAACTAACTTAGGTACATTCAGAAACAGGCATGATAAAACACACTGTTGGCAGTAACTGTTAGTGTGGTTAGCCTCACATCTTAGAGGCATCTTTAGAAACATGGTGCTACAAACACACAGTGGTACTTCTAGGGATTCTTGCAGCTAAGCTTACACTGGGCGCTTTACTACGTTTTAGCAGGGCTTTGGAGCTGTGCTTCGGCTCCGCTCCAGGCAAAAACCT